ATGAAGCACATATATTGTATTTGTTATTTATTTTAATTATTTAAAATACGAGAGACAAATAAATCTTTTTACGTCATTTTGACAAATCTTTCCACCAGAAACTATCATTAAAGATAAGATATGCCAATTAATAGAATGCTGATGATAAGAATTTGGTGAAAATTATTGGGGACCTAAGTGAAATAAAATGAGAAAAGTTAGGAATATTCACCATAATTAAAATATGATTTAGTTAACAAAAATCATGATGTAAATTTAATTACCCAATTTCAATATTTACATAATAGATACTTCAAGGGTATGTCTAATATATATTCTATAAAATGTTTAAGACTTGGAATCCGTCTTAAAAAGGTCAACCTTATTGAGTAGAGAAACCTAAGATCTTTATAAATTGATATTTTTTTTTCAATATTAAATCGATGTGGAATACCACATCCCTTAACATAAAATATTATAGTAACCCAATCAACATTTTATTAATAGTTCGATCAGCTCTAATGTTTTTAACTTATTCTAATATCAAATTTAATCTGTTGTTAAATTTTCTAACGTCAAATCTGTATTGAAAATTGCTAATAGTTTTATTGAGATACTTTTTAGAAGTAGATCGACAGCTACCTAGTTTTTAATTAAATTTCTGGTGGTTCATTACTTCTTTTAACCCTACAAAAAAAGTATCTACTATACTTGGTCACTTACCAGAGAATTTAGAACATTTGGAAGATGGAAAATAAATAAATAAATAAAATCGATCATACGTCGTCACATCAGCATCAATTTGAATTCTGTCAACACTTTCTTATAAAAAAAATGGTCAAATGCATAGCTGCCTTTTCTGAAGTTTTACTAGTAAGAATAAGACATTAATTTCACTACTAATAATTTCAAAATAAGCCAAAACAAACGTTCAACGGTCACTTTACTCTACAAAAAAATTGCCTTTTTAACCAATAAAATATTTGAAAGTCAATGTATTTGCATAGACCGCAGCTGGTCTATTTTGATCTTGAAAACTATATAATATATATTTTACAGACTACAAATGAGCTTTTTGAATTGTTTACGTTTAGAAAACAAAAACTGTACGATAGAATTAATAATTAATACGCACAAGTAGACTAATGGTTATGGTTGGTAAACAATTTGATTCCGAGAAATATTTCACGATTCACTTAACTTTCAACCGGAAATTAATTGTCTCGCTAAATTACTTTTGTATGTTCGAAATATTGCTAAAAATCTTGGGATAATCGTGACTAGACAGGGGGATATTAATGCGTCCATTTAGTTCCGATTTTTCACCCAAAAAATTAATTTTTTTATCGTTATTTTTCTAAGTCAGTTGTTATTTTTGACTTCTTTATTCATAAGTGGGACCCATTTCTCTCTAATGATAAAAAAATATTGATTCTTATAATCATCACCGAACATGCCCAATGTGTATTAGCAACCTAGAATGAGGGTTTATTAGGTTCTAACTGATTTTTCCTAATACAAGCAAATAGCACAAGTTTATTAAACCTTTGTTTGAGCCCCTTTTTTTCTTTTTTTCTTTTTTCTTTTTTTTTCAAAAAATCATTTATTTAAAACTTATTTTTAACTATATATTCTTCAATAAAATAATTTTATGCATAATTCGGAAACTTTTACTTTCCTTTTAATAACACATTTTTCAAAAAATCACTATTCAAAAACACATTCTTTTTCAATCACTCATTCTTCAAAAAAATATTATTCCAAAGAGATTATTTCTTTCAATATAATTGAATACACAAAAACATCATAGACTAAGTTTCAGTAAGAACATGCATAAATTCTATATGTTCTTAACTATGTAGTGCCATCTTTTAGATGCATCAAAATTCAAATACCCCAACACATGAAAGAAATGGCTACTCCTAGTCCAAGAGGCATATGTCGCCTTCACATAGATGTCTCGTCGTTTTTTGGTATAAAAAGAGATGTTTGGTCTTGTTTGGATTTTGAGTTCATACTTATGTATCGACTCCTCAACTTTTGTACAAGTTTACATAAATCATATGAGGGAGGACGTGTCCTAATTGCAAAGTGAGTCCAGATCCTAATTTCGCCTTAGAAGTTCTTTCATAGCCTAGCCATATTACTATTTGAAACCTGGTTACTACAGTTTTTCGGTCGTTGTAGCACCACCAGATGCAGTGACCGCTCTGCTGTAGCTTTTTCCAATTTTTGAGCCTGGATGATTTAATTTGGGTTTATCATCTCGTTCCATTTTGTATCCTTTTTCCACGTTGAATGCGTCGACATATAGGAATTTAAATTCCGTTGGCAAATCTTCGCCTTTGCGTCAAAAATCAACAGGCTATCATAATTCTTGTTTAAATCGGCATTCACTAACATATTGGGATTCGAAGAAGACAAAAAGATTATAGTTATCAGCAAAAAAACTACACACCCTCTTAGTGGCGATTCGATGTGATGCGTCAATATTTACATCGACTGATATAATTATTTTAGATACCAATTAAGTTAATATGAAGACTTGGCGGTGTAGTTGTACTAACTCATCGTGTTGTATAATTAAACTTATCACTATATCACGAACGTCAGGATGTAACTGAGCTCTATTAGTAAAATTGATGAAATAGAATTTTAAGTTTTGAGGTCTAATTATTATCGCTATAAAGAGTTTGTATGTGAGTCGACTTATCTCTCTCTCTCTCTCTCTCTCTCTCTCTCTCTCTCTTTCTCTCTCTCTCTCTCTCTCTCTCTCTAAATAAGGGCCATCATTAAGGTTTACGTAATCACCATAAAAAAGAGAGGCAAGAGAAAATAGAAATTGTAATTGTAATTTTTCTCTTGTAAACCTTTTTTCATTAAAATAAATTACTATAGCGATGAGAAGATGACGTAGTTTCACATTAAGATGGACATCTATAAACCTTGTGTATTCTTCTGTGTATTTTTGTCCCTTATTGTGATTTTATTGTTCTTGATGGTATAGAATTATGGTTTTTAATTCTCAACGTAAATTCCTATGAAATATGATTAGAATTGCAAAACATTCATTGATTCGCTAGAATACATATAATTTTGTTAATTCGCTAGAATTATCGAATAATTAGAAGAATTAAGAAACTCTCAAAATTTTATTCTTGAATAACTAAAATACAATAACGCTACAATGAGAGTTTAAATACTAAAATCTAGTCAGAAATTTCCAATGTTGTGAAATATCTAATTGATCCTTAATAAATAAACAATTAACTGGATAAATAAAAATTAATCAAAACTATTAAATTAATTAAAACCATTCCCGTGTAAATCCTATTGCATTAGGTACCCTTCAAACTTATATATATAGCCTCCGTTTGGTAGCCATTTTTTTCAAAATGCATTTCTCTCTCTCTTCTTTTCAACCATACATTCTTTATTAAAATAATATTATACGTAAATTAAAAACTGTTTCTTATTTTTCAACCACATATTTCACATCAATTTACTATTCTAAAAACATTTTTACATAAAAATACACACATATATATAACAGTGTTAGTTGGCCTTTAAAATTTTGTCGCTAGTGACTTATCACTAAGAAATCGTTCAATCCTTGCAATGTACATCCCAATCTATATTTGAAACTCATTTTATTTTGTTATGTGACTAATAAATACCTTATCAATATTTTTTTGGGCCATCAAATATTGCTTTCATAGGTATATGCCTCCTACAACCAATGGAAAAAACCACAAAATAAATATAAAAATAATTGACTAATAACTGTTGGTGAAACAAGTTTATGGCGAAATAATATCTATGTGAGATGATTTGACGACCAATAGGCGACCAACCATTGGTTGTCAAATCATCTATTTTTATTGACTTGTGTCAATTTGATTGTCGAAACCCCAATCTCATACCAAGTCAGCGACCAATCCATTTTTGGTGTTGAACAAGATCAGTGACCAACAATTGGTCGCTACATCATTATTCTCAAAAAGTCTTTAGCGACCAGCCTCTATTGGTTGCAAAAAAATGGAGCTTATTCTGTCAAGAGCTTATGCGACCACTTCTAATTGGATTGTTTCACCAACCATTAGTCTCTAAAACTTATAATTTCACAAACTACTTTCAGTTTGATCGCTTAAAATCCAACCACACGCGAAAAAAACAGAATTTATTCCTCCAAGGGGTTCAACGACCACTTCTTGTTTGGTAAATGAAACCAAACAACAACGACCAACCATTGGTCGCTAAAGCTTATACTTTCACCAACCACTTTTATATAATTGGCCACTAAAACTACAATCACACGTGCGAGAGAAGTGGGGTTTATTAACGCTGAGGCCACTTCTTGTTTAGTCGTTGAACCAACCATCAGCGACAAATCATGGTCTCTAAAGCTTAGATTTTCACCGACCTCATTTAGATTGGTAGCTAAAACTACAAAAACACGTGAACAAAAGAGGGGTTTATTCCCATCGAGGCCTTCAACGACCACTTCTTGTTTTGTCGTTGAACCAACCATCAGCGACCAACCGTGGTTGCTAAAGCTTATACTTTCATCAACATATTTAGATTAGTTGTTAAAATCCCAATAATACGTGAAAAATAATAGATCTTATTCGTGCCGAGGTCTTCAATGATCACTTTTTGTTTGGTTGCTATGTCAAGAATCTATAACTAACCAATTGCTAAAGCTTAAACTTTCACCAATCACTTATTGATCACTAAAACCACAATCCTGTGCGAAAAAAATAAGTGGGGTTTATTCATATCGAGGTCTATAATGACCAATTCTTGTTTGATTGTGGAAACGGACCACAAGGGACAAATTTTTAGTTGCCAAAGGTTACAAAAAAAAAAATTAGTCCATATTTAACCAACCAAAAACCTTACCAATCAATATCTGATCTATGAAAGTGTCTAGAAGCAATAAATGTTTTGGTCGCTAAATCTTTTATCGATGGAGCACGTATATTTTGTAGAGCAAGAACGCTAGGGTCTAGGAAGATATATTATTATAAGAAAGAATCAATGACTCTTAAACAACAATGAATAAGGTGTACAACTTATTTCAAGCTTTTTGCTTTATCTCCGTGGATAATAAGTAATAACAAAGATAAAAAAATAAAAAATAACCATGTTTGATTACAACAAAGTTTTTCACCAACTTGATCCCTATTAACATTAGACCTCAACGGGATCAATAAACAAAGAAATGATGTGGGGTTTCAGAACTTTTTGTGGCTGTGTATATCCATCTTCGTTGCCTTTATAAGTGACATCTATAATACGTTCAAGATTGAGAATGCGCATTAAAATTTCTCTTGGTGAGGAAGTTGGTCGCATATACTCGTCATTAATATCCTTCCACGCATTTGTAACCATTTCAAAAAACTTATCAACTGCCACTTCTTTAGTCACCTGGTTCTCTTTCATGTATGATTCGATGCCGGTGGCAATTTGGCCCCTTTCCTTTTCAACCTTCAATAAGGCAAAATTTGTAGAAAATACTTAGATAAGTAAATAAGGTTGCTTATTTGAAGAATTGTAGCATCCTTATAACAAACTTTGAGTGCATTTCATACCTCATATGTAGCAATGTCATCAACGAGTCGACATATTATGAGGCTAGCAACAAGCATTTTAGGTTTATTGCTTAGCCATTCAAAGTCTTTCTCGGTGACAGATTTGATCCCCAACAAGGATGTAGTTGTATGATAAACGTAAGTGCATGTGATTAAGGCATTGCTCATGTACTCAGAAAATGGTGGCATGTATCCTTCAATAAACCACTTGGCTTCCACATAGTATGTCCTCACAAGTTCTTTCAACTGCATACAAATTAGTAGATATTTGAGTAACATAAGGAAGGGCAATTAACTATAAAAAACAACAAGCAAGAATAATATGAACTTAGTAATAGCAGATTAATCGTAAATGTAGTACTTACAGCTTCTTTTGCATAATGGACCGCATAAGATCTTCCTTCTTTTGATAGTTCTTCATCAAATTTCTCATAAAGATCTAAAAGAGCACTATAGAATGGTTTAATGTACTCAGGAAGTCGATCAACTTCACTAATATCCCACCTAAAAAAGAAATTCTCATAATTATGATCACGAAGAAACAATTGATTACCTTAAGAAACTATTTTGTATTAATAATGTGGATACACTTAAAAGAAAGAAATATGTACCTCATAATGGCCTCTGTAAAAACTTCAAGTTCGTCAACTGTACCATAGGCGTCATATGTATCATCTATTATCGATGTCATTGCAATGGTTTTGGTGAGCATGATTTGAGCAATTGAATATTGAGGTTCATGATAAACACCCATAGCCCAAAAAAAGAATTCTACCACTCTATCTCTAGCATATGGAAGCTTTGAAACAAGGTCCAAATCCTTCCACCACCTGCAATATATATAAGGAATGTATATTATTAATTAATGTAAACACACACACACACACACACACACACACACACACACACAGAGCTATTTTATGTAATTGTCAATTGAACATTACCTTGATACTTCATAGAGCTCCTTTTTATGCAACATTTGCAAAGAATTATAGTCTAATTTGGCAAATCTAAGTAGCATTTCATTTTTGGACTCATCTTCTTGGTAGATGGAGATGAAGTTTCGTGCCTCGATTCTTGGGTTCCCAAAATGGATGCATTGCACAAGGGCATGAGCTACTTGTTTCCCAATGGTAGAGCTTAGATTCGGTGCCATTGATTTCAAGTTCTCTGTGGTAAAAGAGAGGGCGTCTTCTAGTATATCTTCTCCATGCACTCTCAAATATGCAGCTTCATATAAGCTCAGCAATCCGCTTGCATCACTCTTAATGCTCTCTTTGAATTTTCCAGTCTCGTCTATGAATTTTTTAAAGATATCACAAGATATACGGTAGCCATGTTGTCTGAATAAACGAAAATGAAGTGCGACAGTGTACAAATCATAGGCTTCATCTGCATAATTTGAGTTGAGATTAAAGAAACGTTCTAATAGTTCTTCAATCTCGTTTTCAAAATGATATGAAACACCCAAGCGCTCAATTGTGTCGATCAAATTCATGGTCTCCACCTTGTCTTTTCCGGGGGCTGTCAGCATGCTTCTCACTTCATTCTTAAACCCTTCAATCTCGTTGGCATATTTTTCTGCAAGCTGTAAGATTCCACAAGAGCAACTTATTGTAAGCCAAGGTAGTTCCCATTTCTTTAATGTGCATAATGATAGTGTATAAGAAATGGTACCATATCACTGTAAGAAAGTACACTCCAATATTCCATCTCAGATTAGAACATAAATCTTTAAAAATGGGATATATTCTTTCTGAACCAAAAACCAGATCATGAAAGAACTTAGCAGCCTTTGTCAATTTTTTCTAAAATTTGTATTCCAAAATTTACTCTAATGTTCACAGAAGCTGTAGCGACTTGTCATTATATAAATCAAGTGGCAGAGTTAAGATAATAAGAATAGTTTGAGTTTTCATAAATAGATCATTTAATAATATTGCACGGGACAAAACATAAGAAATAGAATACATAAAAAATAAGGGGATCGAAGTACCTCGGTATGAAAAGAAAAATTGATAAACTGTTCGCCCCATAAGCTAGGAGAGAAGTTCGCGACCGGGCGAACAATCTCCTTTATGCAGTTGGTAACATTTTCAACAAGAGCTGGGGCCATTCTGATTCACTACTGGAAAATAGACAAGAAGATGGAAAAAGAAAAAGAAATAATTCTGGTATTAGCACAAAAACAATTTATGCTGAAAGTATAGGCTAATATAGCTCAAGTTGATTATGCTGATTAGATGCAGAAGAACTGAAGAAGTACCTCTATTTATATTAGAGCTGAATGGGGTCTGGCAGGCTTGGCAAATATTTCTTATTCTGGCAAGTGGTCACTTTTGACGACTATTGCATCAGAATTTTTTATTTCGCCCTTTTACCAGTTTCATAGGAAAGAATTTAAAATGTCTATCATCAATCAAGGAAAGCATCTACCACCCGTCACCTATGCCTTGTTTGGAATTTATTATTTTTGAACTCTTTTTTCTACATACTTATTTACAATCGCATATTCACACAATAAAATATTCTACATGTAAATCCAAAATTTTTTCCTACTTTTTAATCACACCTCCTAAATCACCATTCGAATAATATTATTTGTAAGTCCCAATTTGAAGGTAACATGTTAGATAATTAGGAGCTGTTATAATATATTACATTGGGAAAAAAAATCATGTATATCTAACATGTGAAATAAAATATTAATTCCCTTATTCATAATGTTGATGATTAGACTATGGGCCATTCCTAAAGTACGACCCAATAGTCATTTATTTTTCCTTGAATTTATGTGAAATTCGATCTCATCTCTAACTTTTCTTAATGTTGTAAGAAGTTTTATTGTGGTTTTATCATATTGCACCAAAATGTTTTACAATATCATCGTCGTTTCAAGATATTCTTTTCATTAAATGGGTGGTTCCATAATAGAACTATCATCTTTAACTTCACCATTTTGATCATTAGCCATGACGCTCTCAATTATTTAATTTTCAATAAATTAATCCTTGATCTCAAAACTATTAATTTATAGAAGTTTAATTATACTATTGAATAATTTTTTTTTCTTTTTTTGAGGGATTATATTATCGTCTACCTTATAATTGGGTGATCACTTATTTAGCTGTCGAAATAGTGACTTCTAGCTAGAAATGCATGCATTTGGAATAAATTGGACAACATCGTAGATAACTTAGTTTGACATCACAACCTTCAAATAAATTATACTTCACCGTATTGACAGGAACAATTTGTTTGAATCATGAATGAATTATGAACCCTACTTAGACATTTGAATTTTTTGAAGCATAAATTACAACTATTTTAAAACTTCAATTCAAAAACACTAAGAACGTGGAACAGATAGTTTAATACAGGATTATTAACTCTTAAACAAAAGATAAATGTTCCCTTAAGCACTTTCGACTACATGCTTTTTTACTCGATAATTTTTAAGATATTTTGAATGGAAAAATAGAAAGAAAATAAGTCAAGTGAAGTGTAACTCGAATGTTTGACTGACTGCCATATTAGACTAAATTAACATGACTTTGTGCTAATTTCCATGAAATTCATCATAAAAATAAAAAAGAGAGAGAACTGGCAAAAGTACTTATTATATTTTTTCCTTGCAGTAAATTTGCGGAAATGTATTTTAAAAATCAAGAAAGAAAAGTCTTATAAGAATACATTTTAGTCATCAACAAAGACATACTCATTTTGTCTTTGTTGTCTGCATTTGCATTCTTTTTCTTTTTGTATTCTTTCCTTTTTCATATTTTTCATGTCACTTCATATTAATTTCACATTTTGGTTGCTAGGTCCCAATCATAAGAATTTTTTGTTAAGTAGGATGCTATATCAGCATTTGTCCAAATATTAATCGTGTTATTAAACTTCATTAGCTAAAATTGAGCTATTTAATTCAAGATTTGTTACAAACATGTGACTTCATGTAAAATAATTAAAAAAAAAAAAAAAGGCTATTCTCTCAATCTGATAATAAATTGTCAAAATATTTGTCGTCCTATAACACGTTAAAACACAAATGGGGTAAACCAGTATACTTTTATACATAATTTTTTTGGTTTGTTGATTCAATGTGGAGGTTAAAAAATGGATAATGCTGAGTTAGTGGCGGCGATGACAAGACTGTGGTCGAGGGAGGGCTGGTTTGTGTTAGTTGAGGTAGAAGAGGTTGTGGAGCCTATTTATTGCCGCACGGGCCAAATTTTTATTACGAATAATTTAAAATTTTCACACTTGTAATTTTGATTTTATCCTAATTTCTCTTATTAATAGAGAGTCATCATTAGAATTGATTTAATCATCATAAAAAAGAAAGAAATTAGAGAAAAAAGGTGTGCGATTTTTTACCATGACGAACGATGACGTAATCTCAAATTGACATGAACCTCTACAAATCTTGCATGTTTTTTTATAACATTTTTTTAACTGCATCAGTCAACTAAGTATGGCCCGAGGCCCCCCGCGAATCCGTAAATATGAGGAGCATGCCACAACAAAAGGATGGTCCCCTATGCATTTCATTCTTTCCTAGTAGTATGGGCGTTGCTCTGGATTTCAAAGGTCAAAAGAGGTATGAAATTCCTACCCCGTATGTGAAAAATGGAATTCACACGGTGAATTTTTTTTGCTTTGGATGGTATAAAATTAGTCTTTAATTTTCAATAAGAAGTATTGAGTACTTCATACTCCAGGAGATTAATCCTTGTACAAGGGATGATGTCTAACTCCAACAACTATTTAAGATGTGAGTTGTATTTTTTTTATATGATTCTATAATTATGTGATTACTACAGCTTTTTTTCCTCTATAACATCCCAAAAATTATTGGGAGTTCATTTTAGTACGTTGCAATTAAATTACCTTCACAACATCAGTTCTCATTTCTTACATCATTTTCCAGGAAGAACACCATGTCAGAGATCTATTTTATGCACTTTGGGTGCCTAATTTATTTATCCGTAGTGTCCAATTCAATGGACAATGGTCATTGTTTAGTCCAAATGAGGCTATTGGTTGACTAGTTGTTGGGGGTGAACAGTTTGAGGTTTACACATTCAATATGAGAAACATGTGCAATAAAAAGTGTTATTTAGGTCACCATTAAGTGATTTCGGCGTGATTTTATCAATCTTTCAAATGAAAGTGAATGCATTGTTTAGAGCCTGATGTCATGTGTTAGTGCGATAATGTATTACTTTCAGATTTATAAGTATAGTATAATTTGTTTGAATGCTATTAGTTTACAGTTTATTTGATTATATACTTGGTACCCTTTAAGCTCTCATTGCCAAAAAGTTTTAAATTGCTTGAAAAAGAATCATGAAATGCAAACTTTAACACCTGGATTGCATAGTGTTTTCATATGATAAATTGTTAAGCAAAGATCAGCACAAGAGGCATAGTGTAATCCCAAAAATGCTCTTTTGAACGCAAACAATAAAGGGTTTAGTGGTCATTTCCCATTTTACAAAAATTATTGGATAAGGAAGCATTCAACTAGTGCGGCTGAGCTGGGGTCAATCAGCTGCATTACATGAGGTTCCAAATATTGCTAAAAATCTTGGGATAATCGTGACTAGATGGGATATTAATGCCTCCATTCGTTTCCGATTTTTTACCCAAAAAATTAATTTTTTTATTATTACTTCTCTAAGTCAGTAGTCATTTTTGGCTTCCTTATTCATAGATGGGACTCATTTTTCTTTAACGATAAAAAAGAAATTGATTCTCATAATTATTATCGAACAGGCCCAATGTGTATCAACAACTTAGAATGAGGGTTTGTTAGGTTCGAATTGACTTTTCCAAACATAAGCAATAGCATAAGTTTACTAAACCCTTGTTTGAGCCCCCTTTTTTTCTTTTTTCTTTATTTTTTTTCCAAAAATTCATTTCCTTAAAACATATTTTTAACTATATATTCTCCAATAAAAAAATTTTACGCATAAATCGAAAACTTTTACTTACTTTTTAATAACACATCTTTGAAGAAATCACTATTCAAAAACACCTTTTTTTTTTTTTAACCCAAAAGGGGCTAAAAAAAAGGGCAAAAAATGAAGATACTAATTTTCTAGTACGATAATAATCCTGTCAAAATATACAAATGAAAACACGTCTTAAGCCCCCGTTTGACCCCCATTAAATTAAATTTCATTTTTCTCTCTTCTATTTTCGATCACATAATCTTCCATAAAATAATATTACATGTAAAATCGAAAATTTTTCCTTCTTTTCCAATCACTCATTCTTCAAAAATATTATTCGACCCATTTTAATTTGGAAAAATAGGGGGCCAAACCCGGGGCTAACTCTTAAGAGATTATCGCTTTCTTTCAATAGAATTGAATACACAAAAACATCATAGACTAAGTCTCAATACAAACATGCATAAATTCTATATGTTCTTAACTATATAGTGCTATCTTTTGGATGCATCAAAATTCAAATACCCCAACACATGATAGAAATGGCTACTCCTAGAGTTGTAAGTCGCCTTCACATACATGTCTCGTAGTTTTTTGGTATAAAAAGAGATGTTTGGTCTTGTTTGGATTTTGAGTTCATATTTATGTATCAACTCCTCAACTTTTGTACATGTTTACATAAATCATATGAGGAAATGTCCTAATTGCAAAGTAAGTCCAGATCCTAATTTCGCCTGAAGTCCTTTTGCATAAGAAGTTCTTTCATAGCCAAACTATATTACTATTTGAAACCTTGTTACTACTGTTAGAAAACAGAGAAGAAGTATGAAAACTGGATAATTATATTTCTGAGTTGTATTTATAATACAAGTTGTACGCCCTATTTATACAAGAGAGCCCCCCGTTTGAACCCCATTAAATTAAATTTCATTTTTCTCTCTTCTATTTTCGATCACATAATCTTCCATAAAATAATATTACATGTAAAATCGAAAATTTTTCCTTCTTTTCCAATCACTCATTCTTCAAAAATATTATTCGACCCATTTTAATTTGGAAAAATAGGGGGCCAAACCCGGGGCTAACTCTTAAGAGATTATCGCTTTCTTTCAATAGAATTGAATACACAAAAACATCATAGACTAAGTCTCAATACAAACATGCATAAATTCTATATGTTCTTAACTATATAGTGCTATCTTTTGGATGCATCAAAATTCAAATACCCCAACACATGATAGAAATGGCTACTCCTAGAGTTGTAAGTCGCCTTCACATACATGTCTCGTAGTTTTTTGGTA